AACGACCGCGCGGTCCTGCCGGAGGCTGGTGAGAACGCCGCGACCTCCTTATCTCATCCGCTCCAAGAGCTGAAGCTGGACGAAAGAGACAAGACCCCCGTTAGCAGAGCCAAGCGGGCCGCACCGCCCGCACACACAGGAGGACCCGGGCTCCCCAGGGGCGTTTTCTCTGGTTTTTTGGAAGGCGGATCTGGGGTTGATGAGAACAAGCCCAGCGGGGTGGCGGCAGGGAGAGTGCTCCGTCCCGGGCCCCATCCCGCACCCGGGAATGGCAGCCCCCCGCCCCCCGCCACAGGTCAGAGGGACACACGCCCCAGCCCTCAGGTCTGTTGAACCAGGGATGCCAAATTAAACTGGGCAAGAGGCAATCTTAGTTCCTTTGTTCTTAGCTCCAACTTGAACGTCACAGCTCCTTGGCAAACACAATTTTAAAAAATAACTTCCCATCCAGCCTCTCCCTTCTCTGCTCCTTCGGAAAGTGGCTTCAGCCTAAATGGAAGGCGATTTCCTTTTCTGGTGTCACAAGAGGGCCAGCAGGCTTCCCGTAGTTTCTTGCCCAGCCCTGCTGCCGAGAGCAGCAATTACCCAGGCTGACCCCTGCAGACTGCCGCAGTGGACAGGCTGGACTTTAGGGTGGGGACACCGTGGTGCAGAGCGCGCAGAGCCCTCGCGAGGGAGTCCGTGTTTGACGTGGGACACGCGGGTTGAGGCTTCTACAGACACTTGAGAATGAAACGGCAGCCCCCCCACCGCCTTGCCTAGCCACCCCCACCCCCGGCCCCCGCTGCCTGTGTTGACCATCTCTGTCCACACCTGACATGCGCAGACAGGGAGGGAAAGGAAGGCCAATTCCAAAGAGACAAGACGGGCGGCCGGGGGTCCCCATGTTAGCTGCATTAGTAGCAGCCCACTAATTTACAGGGGTGCCAGGCGTCCCTTGCTGTGACGTCACCTCTCAGGCAGAGTTAATTTGAACCCCACACCAACCATGGGAGGCAGGTACTCTGGTCACCTTCATTTTTGTCATTGGGGAACTGGGGCAGAGAGTGGCGGGTCAATGTGTGAAAAGCAGCCCACTGGAAGGTGACAGAGTCAGTGCCCAGGGCCACAGCCAGGCCACCAGCCAGCAGAGGTGACCCAGCCTCGCAGGGCTACCAGGTCAGACCCCGGTACCCGCTTGAGCCCAGTGGCTCACCGGAGGAGGGAAGGAAAGGCCTGACTCCCCAGGGAGCAGCTTCAGGAGGCCAGAACAAGAGCAGGCAAGTGCTGCGCAGTGACGGCGCCGACCAACTCCAGGACCTCCCCACACCACCTCACCCCACCGCCGAGCGGGCCACGGACAGCCAGGTACCCAGGGAGCCAGTGGGGACCTCGGCCATGTTCTTAACACCAGGAGAGCGAGGGTCTCAGGGCGCAGGTGTGGTCCCACATTGGCCAGAACGCAGGGGCTGACCAGCGTCCACCCCACGGAAGCCCTGTGTGGCGGGGAGGCCCAACAGGCTGAGGGACCCCCAGCCTCCCACCGGCCATCCCCTGCTTTCTGTAGTGTCTGACTGAGCAGAAGCCCCCCGGGGAGCCCCTGCTCTCTCTCAGCCTGGGCCCTGACCTGCAAACAGCAAGTTGACAGCTAAGCTGAGCCACAGGAGCAACCAACAGCCCAGGCCCCCGACAGTGAAGGGCAGCGCACACGGCGAGTCACGGGTGGGAGCACACGTAACGCAGACCATAAAGGAAAATGCCTGAGGGTGTCAGGAGCAAAAACTCATTCTCCAACCGTGGGAGCACCCCCAGCGCCCCCCGACCAGGGCAAGCGCTCTCTTGCTCCACGCTCCAGAACATGCCCAGGCTGTGTCCGCTGCTCCCATCAGAGGCGCGGGGTGCAGTGGGGCCAGGAGGGTCAGTTCGTGATGCTGCCGACCTGGGCGAGTGGCTTGGGACACCGTCTCCAGACACGCCTGTAGCTCAGCTTGTGCCCGGCTCTGCCATGCGGAGGAGGTGGGCCCGACCTTGAGTACACCGTGGGGTGGACTTCCCCGTGGCCCTATCGCGCTGTCTGGCCAGGGACAGTGCGGCGGGTCTGACCTGGGCTTCTGGCTCAGCCTGGGTGTGGCCCCCACGAGCGGGAGGCCAGGCGGCACTGAGCACCGCCTGAAATTGAGCCTGAGAGATGGGAGTGTTTAGATACATTGGAAAACAGGGTGCATACAAGTGAGCCTCACTACTGGGACCCGAGATGTTCGCAGGAAGGGTTCAGACCATGACAGACTGTCCCCAGGGGCAGCTCTCACAGGACGAGGGACCCTGCCATTGGCCCCAAGGCGTGGGGGGGGGGTCACAGGCCACGGCGCGGAGTACAGGCTGGGCGGGGCGGGCTCAGGGCACCCCAGGGCGAATCGCATGTCTCCATTGGGAGCGTGCATGCGTGTAAGACAAGCCAGGCTGCAAGTGAAGACTTGTGCTCTGCCTGCACTTTCCCGGATGCAAGTGAAACTTCAGCACCAAGAACGATAACCCTGCCCAGCACGGATTCGCCTCTGACCAAACCCCAGGACAGAGGAGCCTCTACGGATCACTGGGAAGCTGCAGCCATCACAGACGGAAAGAGGGAAGACATGACCCCAAGGAGGAAAGTCACAGGGGCTGTCACACAAGGTGAATGGGGCACAAGCCCCAGGACTAGGCTCGCGGAGAGGTCTCCTCCGGCCCCGGCTCAGTGCTGCTCTGCGGTCGGCGCCCGCGGGCGGGGGGCAGCGCCATCGCCTGTCGGGGCGGCGTCCTGTGCTCTGGGCTGCAGGAAGTGCCGAAGCTGCCTAAGGACCGGGAAAGCACGTTTCCTCTAAGCGTGGGCGTGCAGAGGCTTTACGTGGACACAGGAGGCTCCGTGAAGGAGACAGGATGGGTTAGGCCGAGGCCCTACAAGGCCCCAGGGAAGGGCCCGTTGTCCCAGGTGATCTGAGCGCAGGTGTGTCTCCTGCCGTTCGTGCCAGTTCAGAGGCAGTGTGCAGAGGCGCCCCGAAGGTCAGGCCCTCTCTCTGTCCCAGCCCTGCACCATGGCCCCTCCTGCCCCGCCCCCCCACTCTCCCCATGTCATCTCCCCACACAGGGTGGTGGTGCTGTCATCCCTGCTCACACCTGACACCTACAGGGGTCCCAGCGTGTCACTAATAATTACAGTGGCACAGTGGGCAAAACCCAGACAGGCAACCTGGGCCCCTGGGATGCAGCCTCGAGCTACTGCAGCCCACTGGTCAGGCCCCCCGCTGACCTTCACCATGGGCTCTGCCTGGGGCACAGCAGATGGACACTCTTGGCAAGTGGGTGAGGGAGCAGGCGGGTGAAGGAAGGTCGCCAGTGGCCTTAAAAAGGGAAGGCAGCGGCCACAAGTCTGCTGGGGCCAGCACACACAGGCGTCTGAGGAGGTGTCGGCGCTAACGGGCTTTGACTCTGGGAGCTGCCCCCACTTGAGAGAAATGAGGCCTCTGGACAGTGACGGCCTCACTCTGGGTTGACATAACAGGCATAGCAGGCTCAGACTCTAAACAGGCCCTGGGTGCCACTGAAGATACAGGCCGGGGGATGCGTCCTGGGGCAGGAGTCCGCGGGTGCATCACAGAAGTGGAACTCGCATTAGTGGGGTGAGCCCCCCAGGAGGCGCTGTCCAGGAACCTGGGCAGGGTGAATGGCTCATGGCCCCAGTGCCCTTCGGCCAGGCTCCGCTTATAGGGAGCAAACCACACGCAGTGCACACAGCAGCTCTGGGCTGCAGGAGTCGGACGTGCCTGAGCCAACAGGCTCCTTATGAGCTAGGGGGTGCAGAGCTGCCCTCTCCCTGTCCCCCCCGAGCCCCATCATTTGCTTTGTGGAGCCAAAATGGCCCCCGCTGCGCGCGTTTTGTGTGGTGACACTGGAGATGCAGGTGATAGCCCAGGAGGAGCGGCCTGGCCCTCGTCTTGTTTTTATTGTGGCGCGTTGTGATCAGGCTGGACGGTGAAGCCGTGTCTCTGAAGCTGGCGTAGGTGGCCTATGTCATACCAATGCTATTTCCTTTTATTATAAATAGGAATTTTGCTCAAAGGGGTACAGCCTCGTGCCCCTCAGCTGCTTTGTACTTTAATCAGGGCTTTCCTGCTGAAAATGTTTATCTTCCAGCAAAGAGGTGCTAATTTTATCTTGCACAAGTGGATATCTGCTTACGTCCCTCCTCCCTTCGAGAAAGATAACCGCAGCGTATTATGTCATGTAAATACAGCATCCTTCGAGATCAAAAGGCATAATGTACACATCTGCCAGCGTGATGGAGCGGCCATTGGCGGCCCCTTCCGCCCGCGTGCATGGGCTCCATTGATAGACGCACTTGGCCCTTTCTGTGAAAGAAAACTCCCAAGCGCTGTTTGTGCCAGCTGATTTTGGCGATATTGGGAGGTTTTGAAAGGAGACTCCAAAATAGATATGCCCTTCTCACCCCCTGTGTAAGCCCTCGCCACAGGAAATGGCCCAAGTTCACAATGTTGTCATGGAAGCAGCGCGGGACTAGATAAGAAGTATGTTCTCTGCGGTGACGTTTCAATGTTTAAACCACAGTCAAAATGATCCATCGCCAAACCCCACCTGAGCGCATTTGTCTCTGCCGCGGTCCCACTTCCAGTCCCTGCTCAGGGCTTCGCCCACTCTTCTAAGAGAGGGAGCCTCCCCGCCAGTGCCCACAGCGTGCACACTCGTGTGCACGCACACTTCAAACAAGAGTCCACAGAACACCGTCCACTCCTGGCGCGCGCACCGACACCACTGTCTGTCCCGCTGATGCCACACCCGGCCGCAACCTTCTCAAAGTGTGGTCCCAGGACCAGCAGCTGCAGCACGCAGCTGCCCCTGCTCCGCCTGCAGTGGCAGCCACACTAGCAGGGGCGCCCCAAAGCCCCGCGATACAGGGGATGGCCCCAGCAGGACCTGGCCCCTGCTCCTTCGCATCTCGCCCGCAGGCCACTCTCGCAAGCACTCACCATTCGCTGCGCTTCGTGACCCAGGTGGCACCACCATGGGAAGTGGAGGAAGGTTCCCAGGGCTTCGGGCGGCTCTGTCGTGAAGAGGAGGATTTCCCTATACACCTGCCCTTGGGAGATGCCTCCAGACCCCTCCAAGGCGAAGACCAGGGAGCACAGGCCTGGCCCTGGCCCCCTGCCCACCTGCCGCCGCCACCTCCTCCACTCTGCTCCCGGAAAATCCCTGTCACCCTCCCCTCCCCACCCTCAGGTCCCCAGTGTGCCCAGGAAGGTAAAGACTCCCCATTCGGTGTGGTTTTGCGAGCTGGGCCACAGATGCACAACTCTGTGCTCTCTGGGGATCCAAAGAGCCCCAGATATTCGGAGCAGCAGCACGGGGCTGACGCGCTGCCCGGCGCTGGGCTCGCTTACCTCGTGATCTCGGCAAAGCAGCGAAGGTCTTTCCTCCTCTCAGGGACCGCACGGCCAAGGGCCCCTCAGGGCTTTGGGGTCAGGAGGGTCTCCGGGGCCGGGCCGCTCCTGGCAACGACACCACTTCAAGCACAATACGGAAGTCACATGCGTGGGGACAGCCCCGCAGCCCTCCTAGAACGGAAATTGAGAACAGAATTAAACTGCGGAGAACATCTCCGACGCCCTCACAAGCAGGGTGGTCCTCTCCCTCCGCTCAGGACCGGAACCCGCCCCGAAGGCAAGCTTCTCAGCGTGCACAGCGGCGGGGAGGCACGCGCCCGTGGATCTTGACGGAGCAGCAGGCCCCGCTCTCCCCAATCACGCTCGTGCCCTTTTCCAAAATTCCAAAACTCCTCTCTATCTTGAAATACAGACAAAAGCCAAGGCAGCAGCAAAATTCATGTGGGAAAGAAAACTCCTGACCAGTCTGCTGGGTCTTTTTCAAGACCCTCCGGCACCACCTTCCCATTTCTAAATCCAGGGGCCGCCTGCGTCGCGTGTCAGTGCACATGCCGAGGACACGCAGAGCAGGCGTCCGCTCCCCACAGGGGGTCTCAGCGCCCATCACTCCGGGACACTTGCCACCTTCCTCTGCCCCGGCCGGAGGGCCTGCGGGGCCTGGCAGTCTCCCCCTCACAGCCAGCACGCTAGGCACCTGCTGGGTCTCGCTGCCATGGAACGCTGGCTGCGCACCTCTGGGTGCACGTATGGGCATTTGTTCTCCAAAACTGACAACTGGAAGTGCAATGTCTGGTTGTAGGTGGACGAGCCTTAGGTTTTGAGCAGATCCTGGCAGACTGTGTCCCCAGGAGAACAAAAGACCCTCCCTTGCTGTCCAGGATGAGGGCAGCGGCAGGGTCTCTGCTGTCACTGCTGTAGCAAGGGCAAGGTGGCGGCCTGCTGCTTGCTGCTGGGCACCAGCTGGGGCTGCTCGTGGCCGCGCCTGGAAAGCCCCTCATGCCGCTTTTCCTTCCTTAAGCACGTCTCTGAGGTGCACCACGCGTTTGTCTTCTAGCTACCTTGGGTGCCACTCACTTCTGTGTCTTGTCTTCTGTGAGATTTCCCCGCTGGTCTCCTCACTGGCTGCTGTTCATTTGCGTTTTCAAGAAAATCTTCTGTAACCCCAAAGCTGCACACAGCACAGTCTAGCTTTATTCCTAATATCTCCCTGGTGGGTTTCTTACTGTTGCCATGTGGCTCACTGAGGCTGAGGCCTCTCACCGATCCGGGGCTACAAGGGGCACTAAACTGGCCAAGGGCACTGCCCAAATATTTATCAGTCACTGAGTTCTTTACCTGCGCAAACAACTGCAAGACCACTGAGGCTCAGAGAACAACAACAAAGGGGGTTATTTAACAAGCCAGGGAAAAACAAAGAGTTACTGAGGCCAAAAATGGCCATTTATCTCACCTGAAGCTGTGTCTAGTGTTTTTAAGTCCTATACAAAAGCAGCTAAGATGGTGTCTTCCCACCACTCCCGAACAATAGGCATATGTCTAAGATAGTGTCTTCCTACTACTGCGGACACACGGCAGCCAGACTAAAGACCAGGTTCCAACTCACGGAGATGGCAGAAGATACAACAGGAGACGCTCCCGGAGCTGCCAAGATGCCCCAGCACAGCACCAGAGAAGCGACACTCAAAACAGCAGCTGCAGCGGCTGAATAACCTGACAAACAGCCACACTCACAGCTCAGCGAGGCACCGGCTCTGGGTCCTCGCCTTCCCTGCCAGGCTGTAACAGCAGCAAAGCCGGAAACAGTTTCAGTCACTCGGCTACTTGGAAAGCCTCCGGACTTTTCCTCTCTGAGGCTGGCTGCTGGAGGCCTCCACCTTCAGAGGCCCAGGATAGCCTCTGAATCCGAGACACTTACTCCTCAAAGCTGAATCCGGAACCCTGAACCCTAAAGACTGTGTACATCCACGGCTGCTTCTCCATCACTCCTCGGTAAAATGCGATACTTCTTAGCGTTTTCCCTGGGGCTACTCTAGCCTCACCAGCAACCCCCCTCCAGGGGGCGCCACCTGAAACAATCTATGGCTTCAGCCACCAACCACATCATGACAGTGGAACGTCTTCCTTCCGGGGCACGCAGCCCTGCGTTCCACGGCCTCAAGCCGCCTGCTCTGCCCACCAGACCACCGGCTTTCCTTTCCAGTCTCTGGGGGCTGTTCATACACCTTCGCGTCCTTAACTGCTAGTTTGGTTCCGAAGGTCAAAGCATATACTCTGTGTGATTTCCACCTTTTATAATGTATCGAGGTTGGTTTTATGACCCAGAAGGGGAAGGGCCAGCGCAAACGCAACTTAACTTTGATTTCTTTGATTCATTTCTGCAACTCTTGAAAAATATCAAAACCATGTTAGGTCGTGGGCTCTGCAGCAGCCCAGAAGCCACATGGTGCACAGGGAAGCTGCACCTGCCACGGCACCTGCCCTCGTGCTGGCTCTTCCAGCGCTGCGCCCGGGTGGCTGCCTCTACCAGGCGGGCCCTGCCCCCATCCTCCTGTTCATCCTGTTGGGCTCTGTTTGGATCGGTCGTTGGCCTCCCCGATGATGATGGCTGGAGTAGGGGTGCTAAGTGAGCACCTATAACCGACGTCTGTGTCACTGGCAGTGCCAGCAGGCGCGTACTCAGATTCTGGGGTAGAAAACGTCCCTCCTTAGTTTGCAGTTTTCCAGAAACCAACAGTGAGGTGCCCTCGCCGGTCCCCAGTGCTCCTGTGTGGAGATGTGTGTCACCGGGCCCTCGCCGGCTGGGACGCCTGGATGGGGCAACATGTGCAGGCTCGGCTGGTGCGTCTGGGCATTCAGGTCAGCACCAGCCGGCTCTGCTACAGAACTGGGGACAACTGTGAGGAGGCTTTGCCGGACACGTGGCTGCGTCCACGCAGGAAAGAGAAGCGCTGGCTGGGGGTCACCATCAAGTGAGATGAGAAGCGAATCGGCCGCAACAGTGAGCCTGACTCCCACCGGCCTCCCAAATCACTCCCTCCCGCTCCCCCGACAGCTGCGAAACATAAGCCCAGGTGCTCTGGCCTTAGCTCGGGGAGTCTCCAGATGGTGCGTCCTGGGCTTTGTGGCGGCGAATGTGCGAAGCAGCACAGCGGGGGAGGCATGAGGGTGGAGCCGGACAGATTGCGGCGGGGCCCCAGCTGTCTGGAGTGCGCTCCGACTCGCCACGGTGAGAGCTGCCTATTAATGAGCACGGAGCACCCGTGCCCCAAGAACAGCAAGTGGGCACTGAGAAAATTCGGGTAGAGGCGTCCCAAGACCACGAACCGGAGGCGGCAGAGGTAACGGGGTAACGACCGCGGTCAGGAAGCCAGCAGAAGAAATGGAGAGTCCGTGGGCCCAGCCGCTGTGGCAACACCCCAAGGCACAGGCCGGGAGGGACGAGGCGTTTGAGGCCGTCACAGAGAATCCGGCCCTTACAAGTCAACCAGTCACACTCCAGCGGTGACTGTCTTGACAGCAGACAACAGTTCCGCAAAGGAGCGAGCCCCGAAGAGGAGGAACACTACCTGAGAGCGCGTCCTGCCCTGGGAAAGGGCGGCCTCGTCCTCGGACAGTGCGTGTCCCTGCGGGCGGCCTCTTCACCAACCTGCCCCTTGGAAAAGCAGCGGTCGCAGCCGCCCTGCCCACTGGCGTCCCGCAGAGGCCGCTCGTCCGCCCTTTCTTCTCTTCCTAGCAAGCCTGTCCTGGTAACAGGTGCAGCCCGCGCCTGCCTGCACCTGCGCAGGTCTCCTGGGCGGACTCACCCCAGGCTGCTGACAGGGGAGCTCTGCTGAGACTTTTCTCAGAGGGGACCCACGGGCCCGCCCCCTGAACCCACACCTCATCTACACGACACCAGACCCTGGTGGGCACCGGTGAGCGGGGCGGCTGGCGGCCCTGCTGCGCTTGGCTGGCTTTGCAGATGTGGGCCGTGGCTGATCTCAGCTGACCTGGACGAGGACGAGAGGATATCAACGGGCAATGGGTTTCCCTCGTGGGCCGCCCCCCACCAGCTGTTCACTGTCCGTCACCGCAGTCACCTGCGCTCGTCCCCAAAGGTCTTTCCTCAGGAGCCTCCGTGGAGGACGGCTAGAGGCAGCCGCCCAGGCCTCCCCCAGAGGCCAAGGGCACTGGGTTGCAGACACGGAAGCCTGAAGCGTCTGGGGATTCCCCAGAAGCCAGCCTGCACTCCTGCATCCTGATATGGGGAGGCAGGCTTTGGGCCTGCACCTTGCTTTGCCTGCCTCCCAGGGCATCTGTCTGTCTCACACACAGAAGCCAGGAAGGTCCACTTCAGATGAAAGCTCTCAGCCAGTGTGGTTTCCTACAGTGCCCACAAGAGCTCAAGAGCTGCCCAGCGGGCCTGCCCAGACACCACTACCCAGGCGGGAGCAAGGCCTGGGCCAGTCCCACCACTTGTCCTGCTGTTGTTCTGAGCACTTCCTCGGGAGGCCGCCTCCTTGGCCCGTCAGGAGCAGGGACAGTGCTGCCCTTTGGCCCTCATGACAGTTCTCGGATGTGTGTTTCCATCCCCGCTGGCTAGGTGGAGAAACTGAGGCTCGGCGGCATGCTCAGACATGCCCGAGGCCACACAGCTAGGAGTGTGAGAGCCACGCTGAGCGGGTGGCTGCCCACCCGTACCGGTCCGAGCAGGCGCAAGAGTTAGAAGCAAGCCCTCTGCCCCTGCGGGCTGCTCCTCGGCAGCCCATGTCCACCCTGACGGCGAGGCAAGGGTCACATCCGGGCTCGCACACTTCAGCAGCTTCCACCTGAAGCCAGTGTGCCCTGGGGCCGCTGGGGTGGTGGTCTCCCAACAGGGGTGATGACGCTAGTTAGTGAAGAGAGGACGTGCAATGTTCAGGGACTGGGCGTCAGGAAGTGGGAATATCAAAGGCTTAGTAGAGCTGCTGCCATGTCTTGGGATGGAGGCAAAGAAAACCTCCAAGACCCGCCAGGCGCGCGGACGCTGCTTAGTAACTGCCGTGTGCCGCCCGCTGGGCTGCTGGGAAGGCCTGCTCCCAGCTCTCCCTCCCCCAGCCCTGCAGGAAGTGCGGGCCGGCAGTTGGCCCCCCACTGCAGTGTAAGCCGCACCCTCACCGCCCCCTCCCTTCAGCACGGCTGTGCCCCACTAC